AGCGAGCGGCTGACCCCAGAACACGAAAACATACGCCGTCTCATACGGTGATGGTCTGGGAAGCATCGCAGTTCAGATGCAGGCCACAGATGCTGTCTCTTTGCTACGGTACAGGCTAATGACATTAAATTTTGATAAATCGCGTGGCTTTGCTCTCACTGCATCAGCATGCATCCCAGGCAACATTTTTTTTCTATCTGTATGTACGGCTTCATACTTGTACCTCCATTTTAAGCGCATGATGACACACTGTGAGCACAGACAGATCATGAAAGAATTCTTGCCCACAGTGTAGTAATTTGTGCGCTCAAATTAGTAAACCATGCTTTTGATTTAACTTGGCCTGCTTATGTGTGTTCACTTCGAATTCTCAAGGTGTCTACAACATAACTAAGTGCTTAAATGTAATTCAAAATTGTATCACCTTACAGTAACAGCATTACCTCTAAGTTGAGCAGTGAGGTATATATAAAATGAAAAACCTGACAGTTTAGATTTACTATATTAAAAATACAGCCCCCACAGCAGAAGCTCGATGCAACAAAAGTCATTTCACCTTTCATCACTGAGATTCAGTTTTTTTTTCCAATACTTTGTGTGTCCAACTTTATTTCTGATGACAGATTAATCCTCCTCAGCATGGAGGGTACCAGTGCTTTTCTTCAGAGACATTTTTTTTTCAGCTGCTCTCTGCTGGAGGGGTTGTGTCGCTCTACCTTTCACTTTTCAAAGGTGTTTCATTGGATTCAAATCAGGTGACACTCTTGGACAGGTCATAGTTTTTACTTTTTTCTTTGTTATAAACTGTTGTGGGATTTTGGCATTGCATTGCTATCATGCTGGAATTTTCCTCTTGTGCCAAGTTTCTGCAGACTGGGAGTTTGCCAGTATTTTGTCTTTTTCTCTATTTTCATTTATTTTATAGCCACAGGCCTTCATGGTGCCATCGATAAATGTCATCCTCACAACAACTTCTACACTCCTGGGGCCTCTGTGCTTCACTGTCAGGACGATGCATTCACTGTGGTCGTCCTGATCCAACATGCTGAATCCCACCAGAGTTCAACAAATGTATCTTGGTTTCATCTGAGCAAAACATGTGCTCCCAATATTCATCAGGCTTCTTTTATTGTTCTTAAACAAAGTGTGTAGCTTTGTGCCAAAGAACAAGCCACGTTTTTTTGTTCTTTTCTCTTGAACACCGTTCATAGAGGTTGATGTCATGAGATGTCATTCCTACTGTCTGAGCTGTTACAGAAACTCCAATTTCCACTGATAAACAGTTGGCTGTCTGAAGCACTTACTTTTTGGTCACTGATTTTCTTGAAACTTTTTCTATGGTTGAAAAGTCAAACCATCTGGAACTTTTTTCGTTGTGGAACCACGATGGAGTCATGCAAAGAGGCACAGCCCATTGACCCAAAACTGTGGAAGCCCTGGTGTTTGCAGGATATTTTATAGCCATGTTCATGCAGCTAGAGTGATTTGAAATTACAAGTGTATTCAATTGTGTTTCAGTGATCACAGGGTTTCTACCTTGGTATCAGTGTTCATAGGTGTATTCAATTTTGTTGAATTGATTTTCTATTTTGGGGTCTACAATTTTAATATAGTCTTTTTAAAGCACAGTCATGACTCGATAATCCGACACTAAATGTAAAACCTTCTTTTATGTTGGATAGCTGTCGGATTGTCAAGATGGAGGTCAAGATACAAGTAGGGCTTGATGCTTGAAGGGTAATTTGTTGTCAATATTCATTGTTTTCAGTTGTTATTATAACTAGTGTATTGTCAGAACACTACGCATCGCTGGATTTCATGCCTAATTGACCGGCACGCTTGTGCATGGGCCTGTCGGTTGACATCAAAGGTAAATACGTTCAGACAGAAGGCTGAAGTGACCCAAATCCAATTTTTTTGCCCCTATGCAACCTGTGTCTGGTCTTTTCATGACAGTCTGAACAACGCAGATCTGATTTTTTTCAAATGAGACCCAGGCAACTTGGATATGTGGTCCTAAATCCAATAGGTATCTGGTCTTTTGCCATGCGACTTCTGTCTGAACGGCCAGGTCACATTTATCCGACCTACACGTCATTGATACACGGGGTGGTGTTCCTGTCGGAGCACACCCCCGGGGTGGAAGTGGTCGGAACGCACAGGCAGTACTTGGCTGCTGATGCCAGTTTAGTTACAGTCACAGTTCTGTTTTCACCATTGGTGGCAGCGGGGGAGTGGCAGATATACTCCACTGTTACCATCAGTGTTTACTTCTGTAAACACTGAGCATGCTCACGGCGTGTGACGTCGTTGTGTCCTCTTCTGTGCATTCGGGACACATTTGGGTCGTATGAAGTTCACACAGCAGATCACATACAAGTTGCATTTAATTGGAAATGTAAACGAACTCACAAAAGAATCAGTTTTCACCAAAAAATCTGAATTGAGCATTAAGTCCTGCAGTCTGAACGTAGCCAATCTGTCAGATTGTTAAGTCAGATAATACGCCGTTGTCCTTATTTGTGGCATAAAATGTCAAGTCAGAGTCGGAATCCAAGGCTGTCGGTATGTTAAGGCTATTTTTAATGGGTTCCGTTTGTTTTTCCTAAAAACCTGTCGGATAGCAAGTTTTTCGGATTGTTAAGGGTCAGACTATCGAGTCACCACTGTATTTGATTTTGACTGTTCATATGAGGAAATTATTGATGATACAGTTTAAAATCATTTACATTGAAGTGAGATGACCCAGGAGTGGACTCACATCTGTTGTATATTGGATTTAACATGGTTTTATTTTGGGACGTGCTGATATACTAGAGATTTTGACTGATAAACATGTTATGATATTTTTCAGGATAATAGTCTGTTTCACTGGCAACTAGACATTTACGCATCTTTGAATGAAGTGAATAGTGCTGTTGTGCTGATCCCTGAGTTACAGAATGAGCATTCAGGGAGCGCTGCATTGTGGTTTGGATTATCTTAATGTTACAAGGCTGAAGAGTTTCTTAATGTTTTGACAGCATCGAGAGAATACAATGACTAGTGAGTTGAAAACATCTTCCCTGCAGAAACGGACCGGGCACGGAGTCATGTTGCAAGCAAAGACATAACAGAGTTTCACAATGGCAAGCTGAAAAATGACGAAAACTTTCAAAGCTCAGCGGGAGATTCTGTGAGTCAGTGGCTGATATAAACAGAGGAAATAAGCACCTGCACATAAAAACATAGTCCTACAAGCTATACACCTGTGGATTTAAAGTACATTATACTTTCATAGAAATCTCCCATTTTCACTTTCATGGGCAAAAATGCGTCAAGGCAGAGATCTACTGTATTCTTAGCCTGATGGTGTCTGCAGGAAACTTTCTCAACAAGACGACGAAAAGGCCTTTTATCAAAAGTTGGCATTTATACTTTTGTTCTTACCATCTTATAATTAGGCTGGTCTTATACTTGGCTCGATCTTACATATTTATTGCAAAGAAATCATCGTCAAGCAAAAAAGATTTAAAATTTGAGCAAAAATAATGAAAAATAAAAAACAATTTTGTGTTCATTTAATTTATTTGTATGTTGTTTACTTTTAATAGAACTGGAGTAATTAAGTAGAACTTACATTTTATCGACTTCATAATAGTTTATAGTGATTGCTCAAACAGTTTTGCTCATGATTTGTTTTTCAAAAGATAATTTATGTACTGGAGTAACACACAACTAGAATGCCATATACAGTCGTCCTCAAATGTATTCATAGCCTCCCATTAAAGGAGGAAAAAAACAGCTGTCACTGAAATAAGTTGAAATTGACAAAAGTAATAATAAATAAAAATTTTATGAAAATCATGACATTGCTTTTGAATTGTTCAACAGAAATATTAAAACACAAACAAAACAAAAACAAGCAAACAAGCATGATGGGACCCATAAACTAATATTTTGTTGAACAACCCTTTGAGCCAATCACTGCAATCAAGTGTTTTCTGTAACTCTCAATCAGACTTCTGCACCTGTTGACAGGTGTTCTGGTCCACTGCTCATCAGTAAAGTGCTCTAATTTGTCCGGGACAGTTTTGTTTGTTTTTTAAAATTATTCTTTTCAACCACACTTCAAAAGCAATGTCTTGTTTCACTGAATTATAATTTAGCAATTTTTTATTTATTACTACTTTTTTCAGTTTCTAGTTATTTGAGTGACTATTGTGAATTTTTCCTTTTCTTTAATGGAAGGGTATGAATAAAGGACGACTGTACACCAATGGGCCACAACAATAGAACCAACTGACCAATACTGTGCACGTTACCCTCATGCTGTAAAAACAGCTCTGACCCATCGAGATATGGACTACACAAGACCCATCAAAGTGTCCTGGGTCACCGGGTTCCAAGACGTTAGGAGCGGATAATTTATGTTCTGGCACAGACGGGGCCATCCACATCTCACTTCATCTTCCATCGCTCCATTGTCCTGTTCTGTGGGCGCTAATGGCGGTGGACTCGGGTCAGCGTTGGCACTCTGACCGGTCAGCGGCTACAAAGCTCCATATGTAGCAAGCTGTGAAGCACCGTGTGTTCTGACACCTTTCTATCACAGCCGGCGGGAAGGTTTTCAGCAATTTGTGCAACAATAGCTCCTCGATGGGATTGAACCGCCACATCAATGAGCCTCGACCACCCGCGACCCCCATCTCCAGTTGTCATTCAGCCATCACAATGTGGCCCTTGTCAAAAATTTCTAAGATCCTTACTCTGGCTCATTTTGCTGCTTCCAACTTCAAGAACTGAGTGTTCACTCGCTGCCAAATATATCCCACCCCTGAAAAGGTGCAGCTGCAACGGCATAATCAAGTTATTCACGTCACCCGTCAGTGGTTTTAATGTTGTGGCTGAGTCGATGTAGATGAATTAGCAACAAAAAGCAAAATACTTTAACGTTCAGTTGCATTCAGGAACTCAACTAACCACACAGTGAGACAGAAATAAGATAGCGTGAGACTTACTGTCATTCGAACCTTGATTTTCATCCCAAGTACGCACGTAATCATCCTGCAGAAACATGGAGAAAACAATCATTTATTAGCAGCTGCAGAGAATCAAGAGCAACAAGATTCACACTGAGCGCACTGTGTTGTTGATACTATAACACATGAACACTGTCATCATCACAGAGGAGATGTAATGTAGTTTGCATTATCACTGCACACTGATTATAATGTGCACAATGGCATGATAATTAGCTAAGTGAGTCACACCGAAGACAGACGGGTACGTACTATGGCTGTAGAGTCTGTATGGAAATGAGCTCGACAAATCGCCACCCTCTGCCTATATATGTGAGACATATGGTATCAGGGCGAGCTGCCTTTTAAGCGGACGACACTTTTTCCCCCCCATTTAATTAGAACATTAATCGTTCTAATTAAAATGGGCAAGCTGAGGGAGATGTTGGGTAAAAAAAAAAAAAACTGAGAAGATGGATGAAAAAGCAAAGATAAAGACACATAAAAAGACAAGGAAATGAGTCATGAATAAAAAAGACATCGCACAAAGGCAGCTAGAGGAGCGTTACACGGGAAAAAAAAGTGAAGGGAACTGACCTCTACCTCCTGGTGAGATGACAGCAAAAGGAGAGAAAAGAGTTATATTATTAGTGAAAACGAAAAAATGTGGTTTTATATGCAACGTATTGAGCTGTATTCAATGACATCGTAAAGCCATCAGAAATAGTTCTATGTTCATTTGAGAACACTGGAGAGCTTGGGCTTTAAGTATTTCTCTGCACAATTAAACAACCATTATTTAATAGGCAACTGTGAGTGATAAAGTTAGTGGTAAAAAAAACATATTTTATCACCTTTTATTAAGATTTGGACACATACCCCTAACCTGACACCCACCACATCAAGTTTTCTCAAATCGATTTCAGTTGAAAATGAAAGGAAAAGACATCTCTTCCATGAATTCTATCACTTGTAGTAACAGATTATTTAAGAAACACACGTCATCAGACTCTTTAAATGCAAACAAATACAAAAAAAAAGAAGAAAATCCCACATTAACAGTATGAACCCCATGTAAATGCAAAACTTAAACACACTTTGCTTCAGATATAATCCCGCAGACGATGGTGCAGATGTAAAGCTTTTTGAGCATATTGCTACGTCTGAAATAATAAACATGAGTCATTTCAAGATATTTACAATCGGCCACCACCCCTCCTTAGCGATGACTTACTCATCACCGTAAACATTTACTGTACTGGAAGCGTGTGCCAAACAGCTCCCCGGAAGGCGATAAATCCCCGACACAACACGTGAAATAAGCAGCCCTCGTCAAAGCTGGGACCTTCTTCTTTGACCCTCACAGTTTTATTTCACAGAGGTAAATATTTTCAGCACTGGCGAGGACTCCACTGGTGAAATGAAATCTACAAAAAGAAATAAAAAAAATCCTCCGCTCGCTGCACCGCCGAGCTCAATCGCCCTCCTCGGTGGCAAAAGATTCGCTTCTCCTAAACTGCCCTCTGTCTGGATTTTAACTCAACACTCCAGACGAGCTCTGTGAATGACTGTCGGATATGTAGTTTAACCTTGTTGATCCTGATGGAGTCAAGCATTAGCAGGGTAAGACCTCAAAGAGTTTAAGGCCTGGTCATTAATCTGATGCCTCCCTTGCCTCCTTTATTGATGCTTCAGTTCCTGCATTATTTAGCAGCCTTTCTGTATTTGTGTTTCTGCCAGGACCAATGAGGAAACTGTCCTGCTGCGCTGACAGGACTGGAAATCAATGATTTTCATAAAAGAGAGCCTGCAGAAAATGTATTCTGGGAAAAAAAATAAATTCTCCTGAGTGTACAATGAAAGTGAGCATGAAACGTGGAGCAAGGTGACAAGTTTGGCACACGGCGGCGAGGTTACATCACTCGCATGCGATTCGCCGACCAAAAACTCTGATGAAAAGACTGCTGCTTTTTACACAGGAGTGATTAGAGGAAGCAGGCTGAGAGTTGAAAACACTCAGCTGTATCCAGGAGCTCTGTGATCTGGCTGATAACATCAGAAAGATCTCCTCTTGTTAAACAGAGCGGGGAAGCTCACCCTCCACATCAAACATGGCAGAATGTTCACCCCGCTGCTGAGCTCCACAATACTGACTGACAGATCACAATCCGTCACATCTGCGGGGGGAGGATCACAACCCGATGAGCTGTCCGCTGAAAAATTGGGTTCAACTCGGGAGGAACTGCAAAAACTGTCACCGAGATCTCCAAAAAAAAAAGTCTGACAGATAGAGATTGCGCTTGTTGTGGTTGACTGGAAAAAGAGGAACAAACAGGGAAGTGGTTGAAATGAACGTGTGGGTGTATGTGTGTCTGAAGGATCATATGTGTGACTGACAGATGTTTCTGGGTAAATGTCAGCTGTCAGATGCACTCTGTGTTCATTGTGCTTATCCTGAGGGGTTTGTTCATGGTGACTGCAGAGTGCATCACGGCCTCATCAGTAACAAAGGACACAGTAATAACACTCCGCCGTGGAGAACCGTACAGCCCCCGTTGAATGTTTACACTTGACCTTTTTTCGAGATTTCTGTTAATATCGGCCTCCGGTGGATTCATCAAACTCATGCTGAACCTCACGGGGCTGCGATGTAAGCAGCACGCTCGATCTAGCGCCGTAAAATTCAAACTATGACAAAATCATTTCAGCCCACGCAGACCCCAATCTCTGGTTTTCATGTATGACAGCGGGTGAAACCTTTTTTTAAGCGAGGTGAAATGCCTTGGAGCTGCTGCATACTAAACATAAATGTCAATGGAGCTCCAAAATGTGAGCCAGTTCGAATTTGTAATTTAAACGGATGCAAAATTTAGATTTTTATGCGTGTGTTCCTTGAAATGCAGCATTCCTGGAATTTACCCATCAATTTTTTGATTAATGTTTTTAATGCAGATCCCTTAAAAATGAACAAATCTTTGTATTTAAACAAAATACATCGCCGGGCCATGCACTCCTGTATTATACATTTGAGCATTTTCTACTCTGATGCTATACCAACAGGGTGACATGGTTAAAACTATTTTAATCCTTAGTTAGGTTTGGTTAGGTTTGGCACAAAAATCACTGGGTTGGGGTTAAAAAATGATCCTGGTTTGGGTTAAACTTAGTTAGTTACAACAAAAACCTCTTGCTTATGGTTATGAAATGCTTAAATGAAATATTGACTGCCAGTAGTAAATGGGAAGCTACTAATAATCTGTGTAAACTCTCATGTTTTTTCAACCCATCCATCCACCACAAGCCCTTTTAAACAACACTACACTTCTATAGACTACTTGACGTGACCATATGTTGATTTTTGGCACCGATGCTGATGCATTCATTCCGGAGGGGCTGTCTCAAAAATGTATTTCCTCATCTAGTGAAGGTGACATTCAAGCTGGCAAGAATTTGATCAGTTTGACAGTCCAGACTTTCAGTGTTGAGTAACACTCAACACTGACGGTCCCACTAATTTCCAGATTCATCTGCCCACCACTTCTCCTGCTGAAGTTTCCTTTTTAAAAAATCCTCTTTCCAGTCGACTCCGTCAACAGTGAGAGGTCCTCGAGCAAATACAAGAACCCCCTTCAAAGATGAGGATCACTGAGAGATGAGGGAGCAAAGGGGATGACCACGTACAGTAAGAATTTCCATCAGAGATAGAGACATCAATCGGCTAATCAGCAAGCAGCAGAACATCCTAATTTTGGCTTAAAATACTGAAAAAGAGGACTTGCAGTGGTTTCATTATTCAGTATGTGCTACTAATATCTTTGAAATAGTGCAACTTTACAAGACCATGTTTCATTTTACATCAATGAAGTTTTTTTGGAAGCACACCAGTGAATTGGATTTTGGTTCTAACGTCCCAAATCGAAGAAAACACAGCTGAAAATCCAAACATTATACCGTCCCCCAGCAACCTCTGGGCACTCTAATTTTTTAACATGTATATGTGATGCTACAAACTGCATGATATCAATTCCTCCCACCTAGAGACCCACATAAAGACTCAGTGGCTGTTCCCGCCTTTGGTTTACAGATCACATGCAATGTGCCTGAGATGAAACAAACCCCCCTGAACAATCTTCTCATTCAATTCGCTTTCCTCTTATCTTCATGCACGTTGAGCCACAGGGCACGAGGAGCAAGCTCGCTAATTCGTATGTCTGCATGCACAGAAGACTCTGAGCTCATGATTCAGGATTGCAGAGCAGAGGCAGAGCATCAAGTGCTGCTCCGCTTACAGGATGGAGCGAGGCTTATGTAAGGCAGCTCAGAAGAATGGGTAAGAAAAAGGTGAAGCAGGGGTTGGTACATTTTGGGAACTGAAATAACGGCGGGGACAAAGCCACGAGAACAGGAGCTCCAATGAGGAGTTGCAAGATAAACTTAAATAGATAAAATGACTTGAAGGAAAGAAGAGGAAGAAAAAAAAAACATGTTTCTTCTACTAAAAATTACTGCTTTCCTTTCTTCTCATCTTTGGTTTTCTCCCAAGTGAAAGGCTGGATAATTTAACCTCTCACGGCCAAAACAATTCTAATCACGGAAGAATTTCAGTAATCCTTTTAGGCTTCTGAACATGTAAAATTGCAATTTTCAATTGCAGAGCAAACCTTTAAAGACACAGTGTATCTAAAGACATACAAGAAATATTGCTTTATTTATAGCAGCCTATTTCACATCAAACCAAAACACACAATGCACCACACAAATGACTGTGGACCTCATGACAGATCTGAGTCGAACAGTTTGAGCCTTGGCAGCACTGTTTTTGACTGCATGTTTCCTTACTGTGTAGTATGAGAACATTTCATCAGTGGGTGTAGAGAATGACGCTGTGGTCAGATTTGTGTCCACACATAGCTGAGATCAGACACAAAATGTCCCCCAAGCACATTCAAATGTCCCAGGCAGCATTAAAAAAAAAGCATTTACACTCAACCGTTGAAGGTCTAATTTAGAATTAATAATGTGGATATCCTAAAACACACTCTGGCAGATGAATAGACATATTGTCTGCATTGCACTCCTCCTTACTGGTACTTAAATGAGTAATCTCCTTCCTACTGAGGGCAGCGGATAAAAGGTTTTCATTTATGTCTGCGCTGAATGGCGTGACACTTAACTCGTATGGATATTGTGCATACATAACAATTCAGTTCCCCATTCAAGAAGGGCTCTAATGTCAGTCTTCACTCTCAAGTAGAGAAGAGTGACATCAGAATATCCTTTGACAGCAAAGGATGGATAAAAGGTCAAATACTAAGCCTGTCTGAAAATTGCACTCAATTATATAAACGGTGAATTGCTTTTTCCATTTCACCAGATACGTTTCAAAGGTACAGGATCCAAAAAAAATAAAAATGGACTGGCTTCAGAGAATTTCACAAAAATTCTGATGCAGTGTTATGAGTTTTTAAAGTTTCTTGCTTTTTGCAATATGTGCAGCGTACACTCACAACACACACAACACACACACACACACACAAGAACAGATACAGCTATAAAAATCACACTTAGTCCACAAAATCTCTGTGCACTCATGCCAGCTCTGTACT